ATTAAATGCTTTCAGAAAACGAGGGGGAAAGTGCACTAGCTTTTAAAGTGAAGCAGCATGTATCGTTTCTCCTTCCATTGGCTGTTTATCCAATATCAATACAACACTTTAGGAGCCAAATTACTAAACAAGCTGCCAATTAGGCTTGCAGTCAGCTGGATAGATTAGTGGCTAAGAGAGGCAGATACAAGATTTTCATCTCTTGAGCCAATTACGCAAGTGAATTACCATCCACAATGCTCCTTGGAAGATTTGAGGTAGAAAGACTGACTCTGCTGTGATAGACATAAGTGAGATCCAGGGTAGGGGGTAAGGGTTAGCAGGCCATGTATTGCAAAAATTACCCAAGCAAAAAGAGATCCTTCTAGGAAAGGATTTAAAGGATTTAAGGCTGCTGGGAGCGATAGAAGAGGAAATAATAGTTGTGGTATGCTCTGCAAAGGCATTGCTGTTCTGCTCACAAGTCTTAATCATATAAAAGATGAAAGGCCAAGACTATTTTTATGTACAGTGTCATTTTCTCAGAACTGTTTAAAAACCTGTTTTCTTAACATCAAAAGTAGTTCAGTGGCCAGAGATGAAATTACTTCAATATGCCTTCATTTGTTTCTTACAACTGGGAAAAAAGAAAAAACAAAACCAAAAACCAGCATATTTTTAAATAAGGGTTATTTAAGAGATTGAACCTAGCTGTATTCTGATTTTATTCACCCCAATATAAACCAAACATGCTTGATGTTAGTCTTACCCAGCACTTGGACCATACAAATAAATATTGTCACAGTAGTGGTTTATGGGGTCACAGTTCCTTTATTATTCTGTAATAAATGATAACTTAATTGGTGAGCTTTTATGTTTTTTAGAAACATTCTGCAAATAAAATGGATCTGTCAGATCAAAACTGTGCATAGGCTTGTTTGTTTTCTGCTGAAGATGTTGTACACTGGTCTAACATTGTTTCTTAAATATGAAGCAAATTTAAAACCTGAACTTTTGCAAGCTGTTGTATCCAAAAATGATTAAACAGATGTGGAGCCTGCAGCAGCATTAGACCTCTGATCTGATTTTAGCTTACAGATGGAATTAAATTAATTCATGGCAATCACTGTAAAATCAAGGGTATGGCACTGAATGCTAGTGTACCGTTTAACCAGGACGTACCTGTCTCAACAGCTGTTAAGAAAAAATTACATACCTTTATTTTTCATTGAAACCTGCCTTTAATGCCATCATAAATATCATACCAAAGTTAAACAAATGTGACGAGTGTTTTGTTTTTCCCTTCCCAGTTTTGTCTCTTTCTACTCATAGGTTCCATATTCTGTGTATGTAAGGTCATATGCATAATACGTGTAGACCTTGGTGTGTGTCTGTTCATATACACAAAGGTTTGAGGGTTGGCCTTTTTTTTAATTTCAGTTGGCAGTATTGCAAAGAGAAGGAACATAGGTGAGGGTGTTTTACAGTGCTGTCTTTTCAAGCAAGTTACTGTTCCTCAATGTTTGCTCCTCACTTGTGTAATGGCAGCCACTTCTACATGCAGACTACTCGTCTGGTAGATGAGGAACCCAGTTGTTACGGTTGCTAAAAATATTTTCAGTCTGTAGAACGAAAAGGCTCTGCACAGGAGATTCCTACAAATTATTAGTACAGAGACTTCCTCGTAACTCCTGGAACCCCACAAAGCCTCATACAGCAATAAACTTAGAAAAATGTATCCCCACTTTTTTTCTTAATCTGATTTTGCATAGTTATGTTTTGTGGGGTGGCGCAATGGGTTGCTTTTGCTCTTGCTCCTGGGTGGGTCGAGACTGAACACGTCCCAGAGGTAGCACAGCCGTTTTCAAGGCCAATGTGCTTGGACCATTCTCTCTAACAGGCCCTACTGACTAGTCCAAAAAGTGCCATAGGCATGAATTAAAAACTGAACTTGAGGATGAATATTGCAAGGACAATTACTGCTTTTAATTAGAAAATAAAAGCCCAAAGCACAGGAATGGGGGTCAGGGGAATAGCGCACAGTGTAACATGATTTTTAAGAGCTCTCTCCTGTCATGCAGTCAATCAGCAATGCAAATTTTTTTTCCGATTGCTGATTGGTCGTGGAATGGAGGAAGAGGGCAATACCACTATCCATATTCTTCTGATTCAAGTAAAATATGTTGCATTACAGATACATTTTTCAAATGATGGGTGAAAATTGCAGGAATATTAAAGACATATAGATAGTATTTATATAAAAACTGATTATACTGCAAAAGTATGGCTTGCATATATTAAATATTTTTCACAATTAAAATAAAAGGTAACATATTCACCTCATTTGCAAGAAGGAGTAATCAGTCAATTAGTAGTATAGGCAAGTTGGGTGGGTTTTTAGTTTTGCCATATTCTTGCTGCAATACAAAGCCTCCAAACACATTATCCTTTGGACAGTGTACGTTGTTTGATTGTTTGCCCAAAAGTGGGTTGTGAAGCCAAGTTTATGGTGGTTTCTGCTCTTTTTTTTTATTTTAATCTGGTGACGTATAGGAATAAAACAAATCTTCAGGGGAGGTTTCAAGTCTTCTAACAGGAGATAGAAAAGTATGTACAGTGGAGGGAAAAATAGTTACAGTATACATTCTAGAAGTACTTATATGTCTTTAAAAACAAAAAGTATTCCAATTATCCTGTAACAGAAAAAAAAAAATTGAGCTACTTCAAAAAATATCAAAAATAGAAACATCTGTTTATTAAATAACACGTTAGGGTACAGATTGTTCTTTCATATATCTTTTTTATGAGGTTGCTCTGGCTGTCTTGAGAATTGAAATTCATATAGAAAGGTACATCTGTTACAGGAAAAGGTCTGTGGATTTTTCCCCCAAATAGACTAACAAAACTGTTTACGTTGTCTCAGGCTATGCCTTGCATACCATTCCAGCAGCATTGCTTTCTTTGCCTAAGCAGCATTATGAATGGTTTAATATTTCCGATTCTTAGATGTCATGAAATATACTCTTACCCTTGCTCTTTCCTGCTTGGCGGATCTGTTGGATCATTCTTCCCTTTTTAAGTTTCCCCCTTAATTGTTCACAGACGTTCCTTCGAACGATGCTCCATTTCTTACCATCACTTGTTGTGAAAAGTGGACTGAAACACACTTCCAAGATTTTACTTGCGAGGTTTACTGGAACTCTTGTTGAACAGAGGCCTTTTTTCTTTCCCTTTTTTTGAGCTAGAAAGTATAACTAAGAAGGTTGCAAAGCCTGTGTTGTGTATGCCATGCAGTGTCAGGGAGTTGTCTGTATGAAAATTGCCTCTGCCTGTGGGGGCCTAAAAAGAAAGGAAGTCTTGGACATTGAATTTTGTGTTGGTCAGTTCAAGAGGAACCCTCTTGGGGACTGGAGGCTGCTGACTTAAAAGCCTTTACTTTAAGCCTAGCATTAAGCATAGCTTCAAACCAATATTAAAGGATGCCTTCTCTCAATGTGTTTCCCTTTTTCTTTGACTCAGGCACTGAGATACTAGGAAGCTGTCTACCTTTTATGTAGCCAGCATTTTACTGAATATGAACAGATCTATAGTGGATAATGCTGGAGTACTGTAAATTCATCATCACAATCACCATGAGGTTTTTAATGTGCACCTCTCATTTTGAACTTCTGTCTGCATATGCGGTTTCCACTGTGGGGCTTTGCCTTTTGTGTGTGTGTGTGTGTGTGTGTTAAATGAGGCTTTTTAGAAGTGCATGTTCAACTTTTCTTGTTGTCTTGTTTAGTAAATTAATATAATGATGAGCCAGCTGCTTGTCAGTGGTAAATTCTTGATTGAAGACATTATAGTCTCCAGAAACACAAGACCATAGTCTCCTTTTACAGTATTTTTCAAAAAGTAGCAGGCCAGAATAAATAGGTAGAGAGTTAAACAGGTAATATTTGAAGCTGGGCACGTGGTGGGAGGTTTTTTGTTCTGTTGTCAGGGGGGAGGGAGATGGTGAGCAAAACTGAAAACAAAATCCAGCTGCCTACAGGCAACTGCTTGTGTTAGTTCAAAAAATTCAGCCCTTTTTAAAATTGTTTGTGTGGTGTAACTTGATAAGTTTTACTGCAGATTCTTGAAATAAATATCATTTGTATCCCTCATGTAAGACAGTTATATATGGGAAGGCTTATCCATGCATCATCTCCAAACTAGCTTGAGGAGTTTTTGGTTGATGAGGGGAAAAAAACTTTGTTACTTGGCATTCTTTGTTTTTTTATGATGCAGTCATGGGAAAAAAAAAGAATCTGTTATTAAAAAAAAGAATATTATATTAACACTTGCAATCCTGATGATCTTTTCAGCAGCTTTTCTCAAAGATCTCGATGGTATGGAGAGAAAAGTGCAAACAACACTTAATGGCATTGAAAATACTAAAAGTAAACTTGGATGTATCAAATCTCTCTTACAACGTTCAGTAAAAGAGAAACTGAGTAAAGATAGAGCTGAATTTCAGAATAGTAGACCACTTGTCTGTACTGTTTCTGTAGTAGCTGTAATTGTTTAATCTGAAATGATTTAGTGTGTTTTGTTGAAAGAGGTCTTGAGCATTGATAAATATCACTAAGAATTGAAAGATGGTTGTGATACTATGATGTGCCTCGGCTTAGTAACTGTATAGGACAAGAAATTCAGGTAATCTTGCTGATGTATTGGTAGACTTGTGTAGATGATGCATGTTCTTTGAGACTGATGTAAAATCCACTGTATTGCAATAGAAAAGACCTGCGACAATATTTGTCAAACTTAAAAACTGAGCGAGTCTTTAAAAACATTTAAAATAAAGCAAAGCGTAAGACTGTATTATTTAGAATCATATGCAGTCAGGAGGTCAACATGCGCAAAGACAGCCTGTTCTAGCAACCTATTAGATGAATTAGGAGAATAAGAAGGTTTAAAGCTTTAAGGGAGATTATCCTGCTCTTCTCCACATGGCAGGCAGTGCTGATTAATGCTGTGTGTTTCTTTAATCTCAGGGTTTGTAGGTGAAACCACCCAACCAATCCCAGAAAACAACATTGGAAACAGAATGCTTCAGAGTATGGGCTGGACCCCTGGCACGGGCCTTGGACCAGACGGCAAAGGGATAGCAGAGCCAATACGAGCAATCCAGAGACCAAAAGGACTCGGACTTGGATTTAGCTGACAGAAATGCACTCTGGCTGCCCGATAAAAAGAAAGCTCAAAATTAATTTTAAAAGACAAAAAAAAAAAAAAAAAAAAGTAAGGCAAACATATTATTTGTTGTGATCGGCAAATCCAGTTATTCTTCTCTCAAAGATCACTGAAGTCAATGTGCTTCACATTAGCTACACCAGCTGCGAGGTACAGCCACAGTGACAAAACCGACATTCAAGTCTAACTTTATAATGGTGCTAAAATGTACAAAAACTTCTACTTTTTTATTTTCTGTGGTCTTAAAGTTTGTATTAACCATAAAATTCAGTATATTCACTTTTTTCATAAAAGCTTCTGACACAGCAGGTTTTAGTATATAAGCAAATTTTTTTTTTTGTAAGTATAATTTCATCTCGAGAGTCTTGATAAGATTTGTCGAGGAAAACGGAACTTTTTACAGCTATTGTGTTTTCCCCCTTTTCTGGCAAAGTTTCCAAACCTGGTGTTTCTAGCGTTTAGCAATATTTGAGGATAAGCTGTCATTTTGCCCATAAGATATACACGTTTCCCACTGGAAGGTGATACGATATGCAATTTTGTATAAGAGCATGAAAAATGACTTTGTTGTCATAGGAATGCCATTCCAACACCATTATCTGGCAATGTATCAGTGTCTTCCACATTCAAGCTCAGAAGTAAAGCTTTTATACTTGTTTTTTACATTTACAGGATTATCTTTTATCGGCAAACATTTTAAAAAGTTAGTTTATTCTGACTTTGGATTTCCCTTTATATTAATAATCCTCAGTGTTTCCACATTTAAGAATAGTTTGAGCTTTGAACCAGGAAATTGTATTTTAAAGATGACTGTCTTTCAGTGTTTATATTCTGGGTTTTGGCATATTTTAAACAATGCAGTGTTCAGCATCGTGTTATCATTTGGTTTGTGATTGTGCTGGTGCCAATGAGCCACAACCTTTAAGGATCATGAACAGAAAAAGGGCAAGGAGAAGCAGGATTAGGGTGGAGGAAAGGAAGGAAAAAGATACTTTGATGGCATCTTGCACATCTAAGCTAGCAATTTAAAATCAAGAGGGATCATTAAGTGTTTTAATCAGTGTCCTAATGTATCTAATGTCAGCAGAAGCAATTTCATTAAGCACCAACCAATCAAGCTCCTAGGGTACTTATTGGTCTGCAGTATAAAACAAGTTCCACTTTAAAATTAAATGATAGGGCTGAAGGAAACTGTTGTTCAGATGGACTAAGGAGAAAATCCTGTCCCCCCCCGCCCACCCCTGTAGTAACTGGCAATATTTACCCTGACTGCAGAGGGAACAGGATTTGATTCTCCAGTCTTTTTTTCTTCAAGAGGAGGAGCCCTCCCTTCCTCTGCGCCCAAACTGCAGAGAAAAATACTTACTTACAGATGCTTGCAAAGATATTTCCTTAGAATAAAAAGAGCACAGCTTCCTTCATGTGACTGTGAAATAGAGTGATGAATTGTTTCACCATACACATAGTGTAGAGAAAAAGGTTAGTACCCAATATTGTTTTTAATGATAGCTGAATGCACATGTTCTCTGAGTTTCAGGAGAACTATTTATTGCTGTTTAAATACTTGATATGATTGTGTGGTTTTGCTTTTTGAAATTATAAGAAATTTTAAACAGACTTGGGATTTATAATCAAAACATATACTTCTTACTGAAAGGTTTTGGAGCACAGCATAATGTGAGTTCGCCACTTCAAATATCTCTTGCACAAATAAACTGAATTAAATACATTCCATATCCAAAGAATTTCAGGGCCACATAATTGCAAAGGGCTGAGCGCCTGGAATTCTGCAGCTAGCAGAGGTGCCCACTTGTAGAAGTGTTATTTACAATAATGAATTTATGTGGCATGCTCCCGTTCTTTCAATGCAACGTGCTACTGAGAGCAAGTGAATTCTAAAGACCTCTTTGTATTCTACACCACAATCAAAAATTCCTTAAAATAATTTTCGACATGTGAATTGTGAAAGTGAATCTTTAAGTTCAGGTTGTTCTAGCTCTATTTGCAAAACTGTAAAGGAATATTTATTCTCTGTTAAAATTCCATTGTTGTGCTTTGGTTACAACACCTACATATCTTGGGCTGGAAATTCTAAGTATGGCACATATAACACTTGTTTGAAGTATTTCTGTGCAATTTACTGTAGCAGAGGTTCCTCAAGAAATCAGTCTGCAGCTCCAAAAGTACTTGAGAATGTTTCCTGTTTTAAAAAGATAAGAGGGAAATAATGGATACATGTTGAGAGAAAACCTCTTTAGCCCATTCAATTCTTTATTCACCCATTCATACAGATACAGTGAAGCAGCCAACCTAGTAAACAACCATAATGAAAGAACTATTTAGTCTGATTGGAAATCTTTCAACTTTTTGTTTTAAATCAGTCTATTAGTGAGAAACTATTAGACATTAAGACTAGTCAAATTGATTTTGATATAGAGATAGATACACCTTGTCCGTTTTCCAGCAGGTATTCTCATAGATGCCACAGCTGACAGTCAACTTTGTGTTAGAAGCTGTAGAACAAAGTGATTTATTAAAATATTTTAATGTAGTGTTTTGACATATTTTTATGTTGCAGTTAAATTCCCGTTCTGACTTACACTATCATTTCATTTCTGTTTTTCCACATCTCACAGGAGTGGTTTTAAAGATACTCCAGTAGTGTGATTTTGCACAGTTAAATCTAGTGTTAAGAAACAAAACAAAAATGCATTGTACTTTTTTTTTGTTTTTAAGCCGTTGCAATGTTAGTTGGCTTTGAAACAAGTCAGAGTACTTGGATTTTTTTTTTTCTTTAGGTCTTTCCCATACCTAACTTGCAATCGTACTATGATACCTGCTATAAAGCTGGCTCACATTATTTTAAAATACATATACAAGTATTTTCAGATAATAATTCCTACTGGCTGTGACACTGAAGGTTTTCTACCTGCATAAATAAATACGGGAACATCTTGTATCTAAAAGTTACCTTCCATCACTAGCCAGATTCTTTCCATTTAGGTGTTTGATTACTCAGTAGCTCAGCTGTTACCATAATATTCTGCCTATGCAGAATGTTTAGTGAAGAGAAGAGACATTAGGTATTATCAGCATTGCGTTTTGCTACATGTTCCATGGTGTCTCAAAGTTCTGTGAATTGAGCCATTAACTGTTAATAAAAGAAACCCACGAGCAGTATCTTATTTTTAAATGAATATTTGTCAAAGTCAGAGAAGCATTATCAATATGCTCATTTTAACAAGTTTGTCCCTGTATTTGTCTTTCTGCAATTAGGTCAATAATGAATGGCAGTAAATAGCTAAATAACTTGTATAGAACGCTTTGCTTTAATAACACAAGTGCAAGATGAAATAAAATAAATAGACTCTGTTCTTCATGGGTTTTGTATGTTCTTTTCTTTAAACTGCCCTTTTCCATAGCATTGTAATTACACAGGTGAGTACAAAAACATGCTGTTTCTGAAAATATAATTAAGGTTGCTAATATCTTGTAGCAAGTAGAGGCATATTTTACTAAAGCTATTATGCTGCGTAAAGTATTATATATACCTTTTTACTAGTACTTCTTTTCTAGGTGGTTATTATCAGCTGCAAAGGTTACACCACGACATCAGGAAATGCCTTGTTTAAGATGTTTGCAGTACTTTTGTTATCGTATTCTAAGATGCCTAAATACAAGTTCTTTTCACTCGTTAAGTATGTGTATACTTTGATAACTGTGACAGGACTTTGTGCTTTCTCTTCAAAGAGTTCTCCAAAACTGTTCTTCCAAGGAGAACTCACACAACCTTTGTTTTACCTTCCCTCTCCCCACGCTCCCAGGGCAGTTTCACTAAAGGTGTATCAGAAATGGGGATCCCTTCCCTCTTACTCTAAAGGCAAGAGACTTTTTTAATTAGACTTTCATCCCTAGCAGAGTTTTCAGGAGCAGTGGCATAGTTAGCACACAGCAATTGCATAACCAAGTTGCCCACAATAGAGTCCTGTACCTACGGGCAGTCTGTGTGTTCAGTCTGAAAAAACACAGTCAGAATTATTTCTTTATCGACCTGTAGCCTAGCTGTAAAGCTAATGTAAAATGTTAAAAGAGAAAATGGGATTTTTAAAGATTGTTATATGTTTTTTGCTTTGAATTCTCCCTGGAAAAGGTTTTATTGTGGTCAAGTGGAGGTTTTTACAGGTATGGTATTTAAGATTGGGATTTTTTTTTTTTTTTAATGACCTCTCTATACCGGAAAAACTCCTGGAGGAGGTGCAGCAATTTCAGCATGGATGTTCTGCTTGTCTCAAGTGGGTTTTTTTGCGAAAAAAACTATGTAAAAACTTCACCAGCATAGATTGATATAAGCTGTATCTACTATCTACTAAGCTATAAGAGAGTTTGTCCAGTAAAACTGTCAACAAACTTTTTAATGTAAGTGTGCTTTAAGTTATTGTGGAAAACTTTACAAAAGCAATGAAAGTTTCATGATTGACTGGTAGTAGGTAACTCTAGTGGAAATGTTTGGGCTTCCTATGATTCTCTTCTCCTGTCCTACAACAAAACAGATATTGGAGGTATTTTGACCGTGATGGTATACTGCTTGTATTTGAATATTCAATCTTTAAGTAGAAGGCTGAAAATCACTGAGATTCTGTAAACTTGATCTCCTGCATCTATGAGAACTGTGGTTATTAACAGCTATGAAAAGTGGTTTGAATTAATATGAGGTATTACATCTATAGAAAGTTTTGATTTTGGCCTGACTGCTTATAGCATTGCTATGATGAATTTAAGTACTGGGGAGTCTGACTTCTGAAACTGTGAATATGTCATTAGTCTCTGAGGACTGTATGTTCTATTGTAATATATTTACACTGATTAAATATGCAAGCTTATTAAATGATATTATCTTTTGGAATATTTGATCATAGATATGCTCAGTTTAATTGTGCCTTGTCCTTAGTGTTGTCTTTCATCCTTAGTATTTGTCCATTTTTCTGAAAAAGTGTAACCCTATATGTCTTTTAAGTGATTATACCCGATGTTTTCCCTCTTGAAGTGTAATCTCATGTATGTGCTAAGTGATGCCACTCAAGATTTTCTGTCATTTCTACTAGTCTAGTGAAGTTGTTTTTCAGTACCTCCCTAGGCCAGTTTTCTGAATGGCCTACTGTTGCCTTCATCAGTTGTTTTCAGAGATTTTTGACACTGAAAGTTTGAAATCTCTTTAGCCTGGGAAGGCTGTTGTGTTGGCCTCTCTCTTTCCCGTGGCCCCAAGCTGATGAAGACTGGAAGATATGTGATGCTTTCTGCACATAAATATCTCCAGTGACTTCAAGATGTGAAGTACTACATAGGTCTAAAAATAAGCATGCATGCAAGTGTTTGCAGATTGGGGCCTTAACTTCCT